AAGTTGGAAGGTGATAGTCAGAATGAAATTAAATAGTTATTGATTGCTAAAATGACTTAAATTTTGTTTAGCAAAAGCGGAAAATAATTTTGCATAAAGTAATACTATCCAACTCTTATTCGAATGCGAAAACAAAACCCAAGATGTCATTCTAGGAGAAGATGCTGGCAGTGAAAATGTAGGACTGTGTGCTGTTGGAAATGGCAAAGAGTTATATTCTGCCGAGGTAAAAATTAGAGGTCAAGAAATTGTTAAGTTGCTATCTACTAGAAGACAAATGAGGAGGGTAAGGAGAAGTCGTAAGACTAGATATAGAGAATGTAGATTTGACAACAGAAAAAGAAAAGAAGGATGATTACCTCCAAGCATAATAAGTAAAATAGAAGCCCACAAAAGATTAATTGCCGAAGTTCATAAAATACTGCCAATCAGTAAAGTAATAATAGAAGTAGCATCCTTTGACATCCAAAAGATTAAAAATCCTATCATAAAAGGCAAAGAATACCGACAAGGAGAAATGTATGGATGGGAAAATATAAGGCAGTATATTTTATTTAGAGATAAGTATCAGTGTCAAGCAAAGAAGACTTGTAAGAATAAAAATTTCGAAGTAAACCACATCGAAACTCGTATGACTGGTGGCAATGCTCCTAATAATCTTAACTTGCTTTGTAAAGAGCATCACCAAGATTACACTGATGGAAAATTGAAAAAGAAATTTGTGAGAGGTGAAAGTTATAAGCATCAAACTTTTATGAATACAATGAGGTGGAAATTATTCAAGGAATTGAAAGCAATTTATCCCAATATTTCTTTAACTTATGGATATATAACTAGTATTGTAAGAAAAGCAAATAAACTACCTAAATCTCACCGGAATGATGCCTTATGTATTGGTGGAAATCCCAAGGTAGAAAGATTAGATAACTATTTGCAAATTAAGCAAGTGAGAAAGAAAAAACGAAACCTAGCAGAGGCAACTTTTCAGAAAGAACACATTAGGAGAAAACTGAATGCTAAGCAGATTGTTAGAAAAGAAGGATTATGATGTAAATGAGATAAAGTAAAATTAGATGACAAATTTGGATTTATAAGTGGATTTGGTGGAAATGATGTTTATGTAAAAGATATAAATAATGATCCTTTACAGCAATCTCCTAATTGTAGGACAGTTAATCCATCTAAACTAAAATTAGTTAATAGAAACAATAATTGAACATTGTTATGTGAACAAATGTAGGTTTAATAGAGATTTTAAAAGTCTAGTAGTGTAATAATCTCATTCGTATAAAGGATTGACATACTCATGTTGATTATCCT